GTGATATCTTATATAACTGTAATAGTTTCAAACTCAAGAAATCAAAAATTATAGAATTATACTTAAAATTCATAATACTGGAATCAAACTACAAATTAACACAGGGTGAGGAACATCTGAAGAATATGGTAGGTAGAGGTCTAATACAAGTAAAAAATGTCAAAATTGAGCTTTGTGGGGCAGAGGTTGTAGCTCAATTGGCAGAGCATTTGCCTTGCATGTGCGAGGCACTGGGTTCTATCCTCAGCATCACATGAAAGCAAATAAATAAAACAAAGGTATTGTCTGTGACTACAAAAAAAAAAAAAAAAAAAAATTGAGCTGTGTTCCTCATGAACAAAGGATGATTAGAAATTCATGTGCAAACACCAAGAATGTCCCCATATTCCAAATTTGTTTTCAGCTAATCTTTTTTTTTTAATTTTAATTTTTTATTGTTGGTTGTTCAAAACATTACAAATTTTGTTTTCAGCTAATCTTGAGCTACAACTGCCATTTCACTCCTAACTCTTCCAACACAGAGAATGACCTTTATACCTTTACCCTTGTAAAGTTGTCAGATTGTCCAGTGTTGGGATTCATTCTAAGGTCACATCAGGGCAAGGGCCCTGAAAAACAAATTGAGTAGAGACAGGTACAAAACGAAACATGGTAAGCCCTGAGCTCTAATGATGACAGAAAAATCAATTGAGATCAAGAACAGTGGAGGCTGGAAAACTTAATCATAATTCCTACAAAGATTTGAGCCTGTAGGTTAATCACATGATTTAGCCATTCATCATTATGCAGGGTTAATAACTAACAGATTGAGTTCAGAATTTTTTTTTTTGCCGGCTTGTGATCCTCCTGCTTTAGCCTCTCTCAAGCCACCAGGATTACAGGCATGTGCCACTGGGCCTGGGTAATGAATAAAAACATTCACTCTTACCTTGCTTCTCCCTCAATATTAAGGGTAGAACAACATGTTTTTCCAAGTTAATTGAAATAATACTTAATACTATATCTCAAAAAATTTATTATATTTTGTTAAAGTTGAGTGCAAAGGCATATTATATTATCAAATATTTTGGAAGATACTACTTGTATTGATGTATTTTTTTTTTCTTGTTCCATTCTGGACTTGGTAGAAATAGTAGAGTGGCAATCTGAGTTCATATATTCCATCAAATAATATTTTGGAAGATTCTGTTGTGTCAAGTATTAATTCTTATAGATCTATTGTGTTAAAATGGAAAAATAAGGGGACAGGTGGGTCAGCACAACAAATATATACGAAGCCAGGTGAATAGTTGGAAATTAATGATTGGCATGGTCATAGGCACATGAAAAGGAGGTAAGTGGACGAAGAGAGAGCAGACAGCTACATAGATCCTGCAGCTAAGAGGCAGCCTTGGACCAGAATCTTTCTGCTCCTGTAAGCTCTTAGTCTTAGCCAAGCCAGAGAGGATTTTTTTTTTTTTTTGTACCAGTGATTGAACTCAGGGGCACTTGACCAATAAGTCACACCCCCAGCCCTTTTTTTAAAATTTTTTTTTAATTTAGATACAACATCTTACTGAGTTGCTTAGTGCCTCGCCATTGTGGAAGTTGGCTTTGAACTCGGGATCCTTCTATCTCAGCCTCTGGGATCACCATGTGGCAGAGAGGATTGTTCATGTTGAGTGCAGCCATAACTTGCAGCCTTGACAGGTGAGGCTGTTGGAGGGCACTAGCCTGCCCTGGAAGGTACCCTCAGGTAGGAGAGCACAGTCTCAACAGGCTTGACTGAATCAAAACAATTTGGCCCAGCAATTTCTCTTGTCACCTATTCCACTCACCAGGGAAGCTTGAGGACAGCCAAGAGCACACCCACTGGCTACTGAGGATGGTAATGTCCCGAGTACTTGACCTGTGACCTGCAGCCCCCCACCCCTGCCCAACACCAGCACCCCAGTGGACACAGAATGTCACATCCTGATCTGGGATACCACCAATCAACAGAGCCCATTTCCTGATCAGCTCCTGTCCTCAACCTCTGTATTCCAGTGACACCTGTCAGGCTGTTTCCCAGGAACTTTGAATGGTCTGATGTCCTTAAAAGCAAAGGGGCATCATAGCAGTCTACACAATGTTTGCAAAGGATGTGAATTGGATCCAGAGTCATGAAGAATAACTGACCTGCTTCCTCCATCTCTCCCCCTTAACTTAGGGGTCACTCTGACCCTCAGAGCCTGTAGTATTTCTTTTCTCAAACTCCCAGCTCCCACTTTTGTTGATCTAGAGAACTTCTTGGAACTGCAACTCCAACCAGCTTTCCTGAGACCCATGACTAGGTGGGAAGGCAGCAAAACTGTCTGGAATAAATAAAATATAACTGGGGTGGGGGGAGAAAAAAATAACAGATCAACTGGGTATATAATATGCTGGTGAAGATGTCACATTATTAGGGACAATGTAAATTTGTATATCACTCTGGAAACAATTTCTTATCAAATTAATTATACTTACCCCTGTCCTATAATTGACCATTTTTTCTGCAGAAATGAAAATGACAGGGGCTAGAAGTGTATCTCAGTGATAGAATAATTGTCTACAGTTATGTAAGAGACCTTGGGTTCAATCCCCAGTACTGCCTCTACCCCAATAAAGCATTACCACTCTGTAACCTGGTTTGTAGCAAAAAAAAGACTACTTTTTTCCTCGGAAGTTGTCTGCTATGCTATTTATATTCTGAAATGGCAGTGACAAGACTTCAAAACATTATTCAGTGTGTAGATTAGGAAATACATGACTCAGAAAAATTTTAGCAGTATAAATGACAGTGAACAATCTTTCTAAAGCAACACATGGGTTGATGATAAAGGCAGTGAGGTTTTCATGGTTATCCACCTGACATAATTGAAGAAGAAAAAAAAAGGGGGGGATGACATCAAGGGCAGATCTGAACCTTCTTTGTCAAAGTTTCTCAGTAGTGATATAGGCCAATAATGCAATATTGTACTGTTCAAGAAAAAATTATATAAGTTTAGGAATACCATTTAGCAGATTCTCTTATGTGTGAGCTCATAACAGTATACTTTTAAGCTGGGCTCAGTGGTGTTTACCTGTAATCCCAGTGGCTCGAGGCTGAGGCAGAAGGATTTTGAGTTCAAAGCCAGCCTCAGAAAACGGTGAGGCACTAAACAATTCAGTGAGACCCTGTCTCTATAAAGAAAATACAAAAAGGGTTGGGGATGTGGCTCAATGGTCAAGCGCCTGAGTTCATCCTCAATACCAAAAAAAAAAAAAAAAAAAAAAAAAAAAGATGCACTTTTGTCAAAACTCATGGAGCTGTTTACAAAAAAATCTATTCACTAACTATATGTTGCCCCTAGAAAAATAAGGTTAGGGGGAGAGTAATTGGATCAACTGTTACAAAAGGAAAAATGTATACATCCTAACCATAGCCATCAATAAGTTATAAGGTAAACAAATTTATGAAATCTGACTATACCTATAACAATATACCAGGAAAGCTGCTTTCTCATTTCTGTCATCAAGATAACCATCATCCCAATATCTATATCATTTTCATCTTTTAAATTTTATATAATCAAAATCATTTGTATGATTATGGATGACCCCTACAGGCAGAAGCTAGATGTAAGCAAAAAACTTGTTCTGCCCTATTCCAACAGATACAATGATGCAGCAGCAAACTACATAGCAAGAATAATGTAAAATGGAGATAGCATTTCCATTGGTAAGGCCAGTTCCCCTTAATTTGGTTAACTATCTGACCAGACAGCTGTTAAATCTGCAAAATATTAAAGAGTTCTACCTGTTATTTACCAATACTCAAACATCAAGAGTGGATAGTCTAGTTTGAAGAATTATCAATATTTTATTAATTCAATTCACTACCCATAGACTACCAGTATTTCAGTATGCTCTTAACTAATAAAGCCAAACTCCAGGCTGAGTTGTTAATCACTAGGTTTTCAGGGAAATACAATTTAAAATAAACAACTAGCTGATTATGAAAATGTGCAATAAACCAAGTAATTCTAATAAGAATAAGGGGCAAAAAGTAAACTATATAAACTGACAAGTATATAAAAACAGAATATTCTGGAAAATTTTCGAGGACCTATTCTAAAAATGTAGAACATATAAACTCTTATTCTACTTTACAATGTTAACAGAAAATGCATATCTCCAATAAATCAAAGTAACTCATAGGGCTGGGTTGTGGCTCAGTGATAGAGTGCTCGCCTTGCAAATGTGAGGCACTGGGCTCAGCAATACATACAAATAAATGAATAAAATAAAGGTTAAACAACAACAACAAAAAAAGTGTGTGTAAATAATATATGGGATAATTCATAGATGACAAAAAAGGACACTGAATTAAGCTAAAATATTTTGTATCTAAATTAGATGTCTATTTAATGTTTACCAATTGACAGTGTCTGCCTCTAGCCACACGTGGCAATAAATCACAAAAACAAAAATTAACTGTCTTATCATCCATCTCAATTACTGATCTCTTCAATTCTTGATTCTTTTTGTAATGAAGAAAAAAACATCATTTTTTCCCGATCAATTCATTCTTAGCTCACCCATTCTTTATATCAAAATATTTATAACAGAGAAAAATCACATGACATACGCCATATTTAGGCCTTTCAGATTTTCATAATTTTTAACAAAAATCCTGTTTCTCTATACTCTAAGCTTAAACAGACTTCATACATTCTTTTTTTTTTTTTTAAATATTTATTTATTTTTCGGTGGACATAACATCTTTGTTTGTATGTGGTGCTGAGGATCGAACCCGGGCTGCACGCATGCCAGGCGAGCGCGCTACCACTTGAGCCACATCCCCAGCCCCAGACTTCATACATTCTTGAAATAGTTAAGGAATACAAGTAACTTCATAAAGTCTCACAAATAACTCTCTTAACTAAGAAATGATTTTTCCATTTTTTCAGGGGAGTTCACTTTTACCTTACATTAAGCCACAACTGAAAGCCAAAAGATTGTGTTCAATTTTTTATTTTAGTAAAATCAGAATAACACAGCACATGCAGTGCTAGCATCTAGAACTAATACAATAAGCAGTTACTAAATTTACAGTGACTTGAAGTTCAATATTTACATTCAACAAGTTAAATCCATTCTTATTTACTGAAAATATGCTGGCTGAATGTAAGAGTCACTGATTATGGCAATACACAAAGATAACCACATGTTTGAAGATTGCAAATATGCCAGACAATCACTTAAAACCAATACAAACAAAACTAAACAAAACTCAAGAGAATTTTTTGAGAATCAGTGTTTAAAAGTGTTTTCATTAATATCTTTAAGACAAGTATCAAAACCTTGGCATATTTTCATCTCACATTGCCAATTTTGTCAGAAAATTATAGCTACATTGCAAATGCCAGATCTGGTTAATTTGACTCAAGTTTAATAGGACTTAACATGAAAAGCTCACACTACCCCGAAATATATTATTATTTCACACATGGTGACATTCAACATTCAATTGCCAGTGTTTTTGTATTGTCTTTTGGTCAAGTTTCTTTAAACTTTCAACGAATCACTTTTAGGCTTACAAAAATAAATATCTGTCAAAATGTTCAATAAATATTACACAAACTAGCAGCAAAAAGTTATCTAAAGTCTGTCATGTGCAAATAGTTTTCTTCTCATCTATCATTCTATGGTCCCAAAAAAAATTTTAGAATCTAGTTCTTGACAAGCTGCTTTCAACAATCTCCAAGAGACAAAATAAGATTGGAAGTTTAAGGACTCGCACAGAAGACATATATATAAAATTCTCTGAATGTGCAATAAAATAAGTACTTTGTAAAAAGTTATGGGCAAAATGTACAAGAGTCTACACCTATATTAATTGAAATAGCACCGTAACAAATGTCCTTAATACTATCAAGTGCACCTACTACAGTAGTTTTAGAACAAGGCACAATACACTTGAAAATCTATTGCACTTTAAGAAATTTTTACCAACTTCTTATGCCACTTTCAAGATATACTTTTCTTAAAGGTCACTCTCCATTCTGGCCACAAAATTCTAGGTGGGAGAGGCATTTTTAGAAGTGGACAACATCTTTGGCCAAATTTAGCATAAAGAGATTATAAATATAATGGAAACCTATGCAACTAAAAAAATAACTGAAACTGCACTATAAAGAATTAACACCTTGTGCAGTTTAGTACATATTTCCAACCTGTGAGATCTCAAGGATTTCAGTTTGTTATTCTACGAATTTACAAAGTCTACAAGTGTAAGCCATTTTAACGTTTGTTTCAATGCAGCTGTTAATAGAGAAATATGAATCTGTATTAAAATAAAGCCTGCTGCATAATCCTTTCTGTTCACATGCCCTTGACCAAAAAACATCAACACTAGCATGCGTTAAGGACCAGAATCCAACAAGGCCGGTAATGAGGATTGGTCATTGACATGGTCAGCCATTCTACCATCTCAATTTTATTTATGGCAGGCATTAAAGAATATAATTAAATGAACCCTCCAAACAAACCTTTAAACTTTTCCTGTAATCATATGCCCACAGATGCCTAACTTAAAATCAATAACTGTCTAAACATTAAATAAGGAATTGTGTATTAAATGTTAACTTTCAAAAGACTGCTTTCAAAAACATTTGGGTGTATTCATACAACACACCTGATAATGCCTGGAATGGCTTCTTAAAAAGAGTTTAAGGTTTCAAGTGCCTATCCAGGATAGAGTGAGCAAGTCACAACTTTAACTTAGTACAGTTTGCCACATTAGAAACGAATTATGTTTTCATGTTTCTTCCCCCCAGTCTGCAAAGATGGAAATATCATTAACAGGCTACTACTTTGTAATTTTTTTCTTTATCATTACATGTATGTATGAACTGATGATTCCTGTTAAGTTGTATCACACCTGTGTGCCAAGGTTTGATTGTAGCCCAAGTTCAGTAAATTTATTTGTCAAAAGAATTGATATCTTGAGCATTATTGAGTCAACAGGACATCAAAATAATAAGTCACAGTACATTAACAAATGATCCTCAGTCATAAAATTATAAATGCAGTTTGGGGAGGGACTAAGCAGGAGGGGAGTTAATCCAAACTATAGCAACTAGATCTTCAAACCAACTTCTGAATAGGGCTGCTGGTTGTTCCTTTCTTCTTTTGACTTTGAGCTCCCTTGGAATTTTCAGGAGAATCACAGCTGGTAATGTACTGCAAAGTTCTTGAAGCTACACGATATAGTCTGGCTAAGTTACATGTGGTTTCCATATTAGCTTGTATGAAAGGGTGACTTTGCTTCAAAGCAGATTCAGTTGCCCCACCAGTCAACCCCCTGGGAGTTATAATTTCCTCCATATCCATCACTATTGTAGAAGCCTCCATAGCCACCTATCAAGAAATGTTTAAAGAGAGAAATTAAGTCATCCACTGTTAGTACCTTTCCCTTTTGCCTCAAGTACTTTGAAGAAAATCTAAATGTTAGATTTAATTCTTTGGAAATTACAATTTCCCTAATAAATTATGCTTTTAAAAAGGTGACTAAGGGGGGGAAAAAGACCCCCCCCCCAAAAATTTAGTTACCTCCACCAAATCCTCTGTTACTGCCATGACCACCTCCACCACTGCAGCTGTTGCTTGCGCGATTACTACTAAAACCAGAATTGCTGGATCCACTACTTTGTCGGTAGTCTCTGGCACCAAATCCTCCACTGAATCTACTGTTGTAAGAAAAAAATAACATGTGGTGGCCTATGAGGATGAAATTCAGTTAAAATACCAACTCCTATTTTCAATTTGTTTTTTTTAAAATTAAGCCCTACTATGTGTGATGATTATTCTTTGATGGGTATTTCCAAAAGCCTAAGCACTGAAGAGCTGACACTTTGCGTCATATTAACTTTTATAACTTTCCAAAATATTCTGGTTGTTGAATTATTTATTTAAGTTGAAGGTTAACATCTTAATGCATTATGTCCCATAGCCTTATAACTAAAACAGAATGGATCAACTAACTCAATCCTTTGGCCTTCAAACAAGGAATAAAGATCCCAAATAATGTGTACCTCTTTGAGCGTCCACGACTGCTACCTTTGTAATGGTGTTCATAAGCCATATTCTCCAACCAAGATGGCACTTCTTGTTTAGCTTCCACAAGAAGATCCAACAAATCCTTTGTGATATTTACATTTCTTTCATTAAAGAATGAAGTGGCAAGGCCTAAAGAATTTAAAATAAGTACCTGAAGGCTATGTCTTATAAATTAACTTTCTGTAGAAAATTAAAGTTACATAAAAAAGAAAAAATTCAAACGAACACCTTACCAAGGTTTCCAACACGTCCTGTACGGCCAATGCGGTGTACATATTCTTCAATATCACTTGGCAAATCAAAATTGATTACATGTTTCACATTTGAAATGTCTAGACCTCTTGCTGCCACCTGAAAAATAATATTCATTAAAAGAAAGCAGCTGACAAGGTGGCATAGGCCTGTTATCCCAGCAGCTAGGAAGGCTGAGGCAAAGCCAGCCTTAGCAAAAGCAAGGGATTATGCAACTCAACATGAGGCCCTGTCTTTAAACAAAATGCACAATAAGGCTGGGATGTGGTAGAGTGCTCTCCCCTCGAAAGAAAGCAGTATTCAAACTATAAACTAGAAAATGAAGTATACGCACAGCTGTAGCTACTAGAATAGGGCTTTTCCCTGAGCGAAACTGATGAAGGGCCTCTTCTCTATCTCTCTGAGATCTGTCTCCATGAATACTGGTACATGCGTATCCTTCGTGGTATAAGAAATCCTCCAGTGAATCTGCACCCTTTTTGGTCTCCACAAACACTAAAGTCAGTGAATCCTTGCCTGAAAAATAGGAAGGTTCTGTTTACTAATAGGCTGGACATCAATGCTTATGCCAAATATTAAATAGTTTAATTCTTGTATTTACTTAAAAAGAGGTGCAAGTACTATCAGAAGAGCCAAAGAGACTCTCCTTTTACCTAGCTGATGCTAGGATTCATAATTTCACCTGTTGCATTTAAGAGATCAAGTAGAAATGACCGTTTGTCTGCCTCTTCTACCCAAACCACTTTCTGTGTGATGTTCTCCGAAGTAGAGCCTACTCTGCCTACAGCCAGGAAGATATATTCATCCAAGAAGTCACGGGCAAGCATCTGAAAAAAAAAAAATATATATATATATAGATATATATCTCCATTCTAAACATAAATTACAAAACCCAGAAATGCTAATATTCTATTAAGAAAAATAAATGCAGCTTCAAACAGTACCTGTATCTCCTTAGGAAAAGTAGCACTAAACATCATAGTGTGGCGAACACCCTTTGGTGGCATAGTATCTTGTTCAACTATACGACGTATCTGAGGTTCGAATCCCATATCTAGCATCCTATCAGCTTCATCCAACACTAAATACCTATTAATGAAAATAATTCAGTTGATGTGAAAAATAATTTTTTTGCCTCTGCTGAAAAGACACTGAGTAAATGTTGTGTCTAAAATTAACTATGCCAACAGCCAGGGACCAGGGCACACATCTGAATGTACCCAGGCAGGTTTCAGGCGAACCTCACAGTAACTTAGCAAGATTCTATTTCAAATTGAGAAATAAACGGACTAGATATATAGGTTCAGTAATAGAACATTTCTGGGTCTAATCCAAGTGTGTGTGGGAGATCTCACTGTGCTAATTAAAACATACTTTCTAAGCTCTAATTTTAAACCTTAGTTATTTTTTGTCTATCGTAACAGACTACCCCAATTTATAAAAGTTAACATACTTGCAGAAGTCTAATCCAATTTTTCCTCTTTCCATCATATCCACTAGACGTCCTGGAGTGGCTACTAACAAATGGCATCCACGTTCTAAGTCCCGAATCTGCTGACCAATATCAGCACCACCATAAACTACACAAGGACGAACTCTAGACCTGTATGAAAACTATAAGCAAAAAATTCATTAGTCATAAAAATATCATTAGAATTGATGAAAAAGGCAATAATTAACTAAAATGCAAACTCACTTTTCTGGCTTCCTCATAGATCTGTACAGCCAATTCTCTTGTTGGGGCTAACACCAAGGAAATTGGGTATTGTTTGCGACGCCCATATCTTCCTTTTTCCTAAGACAGTAGTATAGCTTTCAACTTTAAGTCCCCAAACTTTAGCTCTACTTCATTAAAGTAAAATTCCCTGTATTTTAATGACACCTAAAAATGGTTTTTGCTTAGAGAGTTCCACAACTATTTACAAAACTTTGTTTAAGCATAAATTCATGATTTTATAAAAAAAGACTACCTTCACGGCCTTCAAGGCCTCTCCTGGACCATCTGTATATATCTGACTTAAGATGGGTAGAAGAAATGCTGCAGTTTTTCCAGATCCTGTTAAGAAAACACTGGCTTATTAATTGTTAATATTATGGCTGTATTTACATTTTTTTTAGTTTACCAGTTTATGACTTAACATTTCCTATTACACTTTATCTTTCTGCCACTACAAAAAAAAAAAAAATTCTCTGCTGTAGCACTACTAACAATTTGCTATAGGCAAAAAAAGATGGCCTGATTAAAAAAAGTAGTTTCATCTTACAATCTCAGAAGTGTTAAGACAAAAAGATATATCTTACCAATCTTCACTTATCTCAAAATCATACTAAACAAAGGACTTGGGCTTCTTCATATAAAATACTTCCCATAAAAGATCAAGTCCAATTTAGACATTAATGCTTTAATCAAGTAAGCTTACCTGTTTGAGCACAAGCCATTAAGTCTCTTTTTTCTTTGATAATAGGAATAGCATGTTTTTGCACTGGAGTAGGACGAGTGTAACGGGTAAGCTCAATGTTCCCCATGATAATTTCTCCCATTTCAATATCACTGAACTGTTAAAGAAATTCAACCAGGTCAATCAAATACAACCAGCAACACTATACCTACTACATTTTAAATATACTAATATAAGAAAGCCACCATTTATGCTTTTCATATGCTTTACACATCTACAGAGTGGTAACCATCAACGTATAATTTTTCATAACCTATTTAAACTCAAACAAAAAAACTTACACTTTCAATATGTGGAGGGCAGTTATTGCCTGTTGCCTCTACTGGTATATCATCATATTTCTCAAAGTTAATCCCAGTGTTACCTCCAGAGAAGAGTTCCCTAAAATCAAATTGTTATCACATAAATGTTACAGCATGTAATGAGTTTCATGACAATTAGCATACATTTCAAAAACTTACTGTTCTAAGCGTTCACTTGGTGGAAGTGGTTTTGACCAATTATCTTCATCTGATTTATCACACCAACGACTTCGCTCAAATTTGCCAAACCCAGTTCTGTCACCACGACTGCCCATACCATCACAGTCACTCCGTCCTCGGTCATCAAATCTGAACAGTATGAGCACAGTATGAGCACATTTATCACTCAAAAGAAGTATTTGTACTAGTAGTTAAATTATTGAATATAAGTTCCCTTAGGTATGTCAAAACTTACAACTCAGGTCATCTTTTGTAAAATAAAGCCCTCTAGCTAACCACTGCTAATATGAAACTATATCTTCACTTGAAAAAAATTAAGTTTTGTGAAATTCACTGCTGAAATAAGACTTCACATAGGACTAAACACAACTATTAGGTTCTTTGAAAAAATGAATCAAATTAAGATTCCTGGGTAACTACTTTGTTTACATTAGTTAAAAAAAAAAAAAATTTACCTTCCTCTTGATCCACTTCCACGTTCACTGAAATAACTTGGCTTTCGTCTTGAATCACGAGACCCAAAACTGCTGTATGCATCCTTATCTTTACTACAACTCCACCCTGAACTGTCCTTATCATAGTATCCTTCAAGAAAAATACTAATATTAGAAAATAACAATATTTTATGATTTCCATTTTCCCAAATATATAGCTCTTCATGGACACAGCCTTCCTTTCTCTGATCCTTGTGGGATCAAAGGTCAGGGGTCCCACAATTTTTACCATCTTAAATTCTCTTGTCCTCCAGAAATTGTTATATTAACCGAAGTAATTTCATGGTTAAATAATGTTCTAAGTGAATGTAACTTCTAAGAGACTAACAACTCACATTTAACACTACTATTACACTAGTGCTGTTATTATAGCATCCCTACAAATATTTCAGTTTGCATTTACAAAGTGTAAATTTTATGCACCTAAAACATGAGTTTAATCAATTATTTTTAAGACTTTGGCAAGCTTTAAAACTTATTTTAAAACTAGGCTTATCTATTAAGAGTGATTTCAGGGCTGGGGTTGGGGCTCCATGTTTGAGTTCAATCCTGTTACCTCCTACCCGTATTACAGGTTTTGGTGTGGTGGCTCATGGCTGTAGGCACCATTTCAAAGCCAGCCTCAGCAACATTTAGCAAAGAAAAGAAACCTAAGAAACATTAGCAAGTCCCTCTCTCAAAATTTAAAAAAGGGTTAGAGATATGGCTCAGTGGTAAAGTGAGTTGTATCTCCAGAGGGTGCCCTCCCCATCCCCACGTGACTTCAAATACCTCTATTAAATCTTTTAAGCTCACAGGGGACAGGCTAAAGCTAACTAGATAAAAAAGCCAGAAATGCTGTACTAATGCTGTTTTAAACATAATACACTGAATCTATAATTTATATTTTGGGACAGTTCCAGCTAACCAAATGTTAGCTCAGGAACAGTTACCTGGAAAAAAGCTTTAGATATATAACCAACCAGAAATAATCTGTTTGATGTAACAGTAAAGAGAATTTCGCCCATTTTGTGTGTGTGTGTGTGTGTGTGTGTAATGGTGAAAAATGAACTTGATGATTCCAAGTACTTTGTACACGTTCACTGAAAGAACCTGGAAAATTTAACATCAACGTAAAAAACAATCTGGCTTCATTTAGTAACATCGAAAAAAATAGATCAAATGAGGAATTTCAATGTGATCAGCTCTGCTCTATTAGACTGTTAGGAGGCCTTTATAAATGCATAAGTAGTCCGGTTAAAAAATGTACACTGAATTATAAAATTTAACTGCAGGCAAAGGATAGCTTAACATCAAGAGCAAATCAGATTTTTCCACCAAGGAATACTACATTAGAAAACTTAAATTCACTAAAGCACCCTACTAACATTTCTTAATCCAACTGAAGTTTTTTCAAAAGTTAATTTCACAGTGAGGCATAACGTGGCTATTTCAATTTAACAGAAATAGTAGGTGGTATAATGGTTACCAGGCTATATTCATGAACTGTCAAATTCTAAGAGTCCAACAATACTGTATCACCTTTATAAAGTTGATGAGAAGCAGGTACACTTGGAAATAAAACAGAAATCAACCTTATTGCTGACTAATTTCCATGGAGACAGATAATAAAACATAAACTCATGGCAAAACAAACAAAAAGCTCAACTAGTTGAAAGCTTAAACTTAATCATGCATTTTATAGTTTCAAAGAAATATTTATGGTTTCTTTTACTATAAGTTCTAAAATACTGCCACTCCTTTTAAAGTACTTAATGGTTCCTGGGATGCAATTCCAGCCAGATAAATCCTAAACAATAAAGAATACCCATAATGAAAAAAATTCTGCAGTCATTGTGAAAATAAAACAAATATCATTAGCTAAGTAATCTTCTGATTAAACAATATAAAGACAAGTATAATGCAATAGAAAGGAAACCCAGACATAGGTTAATTGTCTTCTCTAACCTCTCAGTATTCTACCCCTGACCTTCTATCACAATCTTCTTTCTTTTAACTTTAATATTTTGCATTCCCTCCAATTTCAGATCACCCCTTCTGATTATTTGCTACTCAAGACTATCACTCCCACAATATTTTTTTGTATGTATCTGTCTATAGGACAAAGTTCATAATACAAGTTTTTAAGACATTAAAAAAAAAAATCTTTCAAAAAGAAATTGTTCAGGCAAAGAGCTAAGAACTGGCAAATCTATCTAACCTGAGTGTGGCCAAATTATAATGCTCCAACTATTAGCTACTTTGCAAAACCTGCACTTTCATTATAGCATCATAAAGTTTGTTTTTCATACTATTACACATTCCAAACAGTGTTATTATGTTTACAAACAGATTAAATAATAGAGTGATGAAAACTGTCCATAGAGTCTTTGAGCTTAAAGTCTGTCAAAAGAAAATAAAAATTAAGGGACATTTCCAAAGATAGGAAGTTCTAGTTTCTGAATACAGGACTGATTTAACAAGTACAAAAAAAGAAATTTCTTAAGTAATTTTGTTTTCCTCTATGTTCTGGGTATCTTCTAAGAGCAAAAGATCTAGAAAATTTCATAATCACCTACCTTTAGATGCTTCTCTGTTTCTTAAATGAGGAGGTATATAGCGCCCTTCTAAAAAAAGAGAAAATTACTATTGAAAGCCCTTTATAATCTCCAAGATATAACTTTTTATGGAAATATCAATTACCCTGAATGGTGCTTAAAGTTTTACCTGGACATATGAACACCATACATAATCACACATCATACATAAAACTAGGAAAAAAAATTATTTGATAAAATTACATATTTTAATTTTAAAATTTCTAAAATAAGTCAACAGACTAGTTGATGGGTAAGCAAGCAAATGATTAAACAAAAAACCTCCCACTATTTTCAAAGGAATGTTGTTGAATTTAATGTGACCCCCAAAGATCAGAACTTAGTTTTATCACTACATCTCGGGTTTCACTGTGGTAAATTTAGGTTGCAGCGTATAGCTTATAAGTATACAACTTCTGTAATTGGTTTATTACAATTCAGGAGAGGAAGAACATACTCTACCCTCTTTATAATTGAGACATAAATTTTCTAAAACATGTGTATTACATTAGTAATACTTAACTGTTTTAAGCCTGAAAGAATCACTCTTTGTCATTCAGATGTGCCACAATAATTCACATTTAATACAATAAAAATTTAAAGTATAAAATTAAATTTGAAATTGGTTAACAGAAATTTCTGATATAAATACTATATTTTTTAAAATTTACTTACTGCTACTGCTCGCTGTACTTCCTCCTCCACCCTGATTATCAGAGGAGTTCAGGTCTAAACCAGCAAACTGAAAAAGAAATGTTTATGTCTCACATATTTACATACCAAAAATTAAGATAAAAAAAAAATCACTGTCACAATTGCAAACCAGAAGTCCTACATTTCAGTTCTGATCCTACACTATTTACTATGTAAGTCTGCCTCCTAAGGTTTGAAGAACATTCTGAAATCTAAAAAGTTTAATGATGGCAAGTGGCTTCATCTAAAAAAAAAAAAAAAATGTCTATTTTCAATTGTAAAAGCACTTAATTCATCAGAATATTAACTTAATTTCTCAGCAATTATAATTTATTTTGATTCTTTCTGAGGAATTAAACTGGCTGTTTCTACTTGATATTGTTATTTTTTTGGTACACGATTTTGAACTCAGGGGCAACTCAACCTCTGAGCCACATTCCCAGCCCTATTTCATATTTTATTCAGAGACAAGGTATCTCACAGAGTTGTTTAGTGCCTTGCTTCTGCTGAGGCTGGCTTGCTTCGTTTTGTGGTACTGGGGATTGAACCCAGGGCCTTGTTTATGGCAGGCAAGCACTCTACTAAATGAGCTATGACCCCAGCCCCTGAGGGTAGCTTTGAATTTGCGATCCTACTGCCTCAGCATCCAGAGCTACTGGGATTACAGGCAGGCGCCAGCTTTCTACTTGGTATTATTTTAAGGAGGGGGGGGAGAGTCCACATTAGGGCAATTTGAGGATTCTGTAATTTCTTCACACAGAAAAGGAATTACTTTTAATTTGGAATTCCTAAGCACGAAAAATAAACCAACCAACAACAATGTGGTGACTGCAGTTATTTAAAACTTTACATTCTGAGCCAGCGCGGTGGGCACACACCTGTAATCCCAGCGACAAGGGAGGCTGAGGTAGGAGGATGGCGAGTTCAAAGCCAGCCTCAGCAACGGGGAGGTGCAACTTAGTGAGACACTGTCTCTAAAATACAAAATGGGGCTGGGGATGTGGCTCAGTGGTCGAGTACCCCTGAGTTCAATCCCCGGAGCCAAAAGCAAACAAACAATAACTCAAGAACAAAAAACAAAACAAACAAACAAAAATCCCTGACACATGCTTTTAAAAAAACGTTAGGCCCTCTTTAATTTCTACTTCTCTTTACACTGACAAATTTCAAAGCAGAATAAAGCTTATTTGCCTTTAATGAATTAATAATGCCTTACTCAAAACTGGTTCGAAGAGAAAAACTATATACAAAATAATCCATACAAAGAAATTACAACAGCACCTATTTGCACAGGTCATTTCCTATAGCACGTGTGTAAGTGCTGTATTAAAAGTTCAAGCCGCTCAGTGGCATATGCTTGTAATTCCAGCAACAGGGAGGCTAAGTTAGGAGGATCTCGAGTTCAAAGCCAGTCTCAGGAACAGAGAAGCACTGAGCAACTCAGTGAGACCCTGTCTCAGAATAAAATACCAAAATAGGGCTGGGGATGTTGCTCAGAGGTTGAGTGCCTGAGTTCAACCTACATTCGAAAAGTTACGTACATCACCAAGAAATTACACTTAAACATTAGAAAATTCCCAAGTCGATTTATTCTAGAGACTCTGGAAATCGTTAATCAAGATTTATACTCCCTTGGGGCTGGGGATATAGCTCAGTCGGTAGAATGCTTGTCTTCCACGCAAAAAGGCCTCGGGTTCAATTCAACATCACACACCAGCCCAGCATGGTGGTGCACACCTGTAATCTCAATGGCTCAGGAGGCTCAGGCAGGAGAATTCGAACCCAGCCTCAGCGTTGGTGAGCAATGAGCAACACAACCAGACCCTATGTCTAAATAATATACAAAATCGGGCCGGGGATGACGTTGCTTAGTGGTCGAGTGCCCGGAGTTAAATCCCCGGTACCCCCCCCCCCCCCCGCCAAAAGACAAAATAACAAAAACCAAAAACAAGCACCCCTCCCCAAAGATGAGATCAATTCTCTCACATTACATACAATCATTACAACTTAAAAAAATCAATCAGCATTGACTGAATCGGGAGACAAAACTTTAAACTGTCCAAATAACTTAAGGGCCGCTCCGAACAAAACTACAGGAACAAGAACCTTCTAGACACGAAAACAGCGCTTCCGCGCCACCACCAATACCTCAAAAGAATAGCTATTCTACTTTAAAAAGTGTAGGCTCTAGCTAGTCACCTATTTCAAGGTCCTCCTCAGACATACAATATTAACAAAACTGCCATGCAGATAGTTGATTACAGTGACCAGATGTTCTTCCCTCAGGCCGACCCTTAACCTAAGAACACATACTACATTCGATTCCCTAACAACCCAGATGTCTACCCGCTGGCGTCCAACCTCCATTATTCCCAGGCACCGATCAAGAGAAGCACGAGGCGGCCATTCTTCCCTCCCTTCCTACTATTCCCTTCCGGCTCTTGTGCGATGAGGCCTCATCATTACTTAAGGCAACTAGATGGGGACCACCGGAGAATAATTATTAAACACCAGATACCCAATTCTTTAAACTTTTGTTACAGATTTTACCTTACCCCACCAATCAAGCCTACAAAAGGTCAAAAGAACCGCCCAACTGTGCTACCCTACACAAAGGCCATAGCCATTTCACGAACGAAGGCCCCTCCTCCCGCCAATACATTCTGTGGCAGGCCTTAGTTCTTTTTCCGCTTACGCACCAACGACACAGAATCAGTCACCCAGTGAAAGCCAAACCTTTCAGGACAAAAAAAGGCAGCGTTCTGCGCAACAACACTATCACAAACTAGTCAAAACTCGCACCTGCGCGTTTCTGAGGTCTCGCGCTTGCAACGACACAAGCTGCCGTTACACGCGGTACAATACCTCAGGCCAGTACCAGTCACAATCAACATTACCGTTACAGTCCTTACCCATGTTTTAAATCGCTTCTTCTCCCGTCCCCACCACCCCGAAAAACTAGAACCCGGGAAAAAAATAAAAAGTCGTAAGCACTACGCTGTAAGCCAAATTAAACCAAAAGTAGTAAGTCTAAAAAAGCAGCCTCATTAAGTCATTTCAGCTCACCTGCTGGTCCAGCCCAAGCGTATTTTCCACCGCCACATGACTCATCCCTGAAGAAAACCGAGAACTCGGGATCTCCCACAGCAGACGTAATTACACCCTCCTATTTAACCTCTCACAGGGAACTATAGCTCTGAAGTACACAGCTTCGCTACACCCGTAATATACCTACTCCGATGGCTTTACGTCAACACGCAGGACGTGCGTGCACCTCGTTCCGCACACCACCAACCCCTTTATTGCTACCGTTACTTCCGCTTCGCTAGCTTGCGTTCGTTTAGTCATAACCTCGCGGTATCTTCTTTTTACTCTCGTCCAAAGCACAGAGATCGCGAGATCTTCTCCCCCCCACCCCGCCCTCCCCCCCACCCCGCCCTCCCCCCAGTCTCCTACCAAAGCTCGAAATTCGGGGAACTAGTGAAACTTCAGCCTTTCTCCAGATTGGTGGTTTTAAGCGTAGTGGCAACGTGCCACTTCCCTCCTCCTCCTCCCCCCCCCAACCCCTCGTTCCCTGCTTTTTTTTCCCCCTAAACGCTTTCTTGTCAAGTTCACTTTCGCCAATCGGAAGTTTTGTAAAATTTCTCCGTATTATCTTCTTCCTTTTGGAAACGTCACCGAAGTCGGAACTAGTGGGAAAAAAACCTGAAGCCAAAAGGACTTAGGGTCAAGTGACCACAGGTGTCGGGCGCAGTGTCCATTTCGCGGGGTAGTAACAATGGCTTGAATCTTCTAGCTGGAGACGCAAAAGAGGTGGGTAGGAATACTGCAGAAGGTGGATAGTGATCTGGTGGGTGAAAACGGGGAGTTTGCAGTACGTGCTAGCAGCCGATGCTTCCCGGTTTGAGTGATTTAAGTTGTCCCGGCTTAGCCGGGAACCCGAGATCTCGAGTGTTTCCTAGCGGCGCTTGAGCGCTGCTAGCAGGCGAGGCCACCGCCTACTGCAGTGAAGAAACAATGAAATTATATTAACGTGAGTGACGCCGGTGTAGGCGTATTTTCCTGGTGACCTCAGCGGGTCCTTAGGCCACCTACTTTAAGATGCCTTGTAAATTGTCCAACTTATTCTGGCTGGTTGCCAAGGTGTACAGCACCATCCCTAAAGTCCACCAGCCCTGAGACATTGACAGCCCGATAGTGCACGAGAATCTCGACTATTTCAGCTTGCTTATGGAACTGAGACACGTTTGTCAAACTCGTTTCGGAATGACCCCAGGCAACTGGGATGGGTAGAAATACAAGAAATGGGCTTCTGGAGTGGAAGGCATGGCTTCGCGTGGCTCACATCTGTAAATACTCTTGTCCTACTGATCTAGAAAAAAATGTATTGACCTGTAGGTCCCAGGCTTTAAGTGATCATCAGAATGTATGTGGTTCTTACAACCCTTCTCCTAACTATAGAGAAATTAAGAGCTTTGAATGCATCATTCTTCATAATGTTTAATGCATCATGAGGTTTGGCATCATTCTTTGGAGGATCCGGTGCTGCATTGTAAATACCTCCAAACATTTTTCACGTCTGTTTTTCCAGTTTTGAAATTAAAATAGCCAAATATGACTGAAACGTGAATTTCCTGAAGTTGCTTTTTTAGTTTGCTTAAAATGTGCTAGCTAGATTAGCTAATAGTTTTATTAACATTTTTCTTTACCATTCTGATAGTAAAATAGTAACATAAGTTAAATTCACTGATGCACATTTCCCCCTCGAAAACCTAAAAAATAGCTAAATGATTTATAATAATGTTTTAATATGTAAATAATTACCATAGAGGCCACAGAACTGCACTTATCCATTCAGCTGCAAAATAGGTTATATCCACAACACAGGTGCCTGAATAGTATTTCAATTAGTGATATAATTTTCCAAAGTAGGGAAAACTATCCAGGTTTACCTTGCATTATACAGTACTTGTATGCCTGGAAAGCTTCCTGTGTATAGAAACTATTAAGAAATACTTTGTGTTTTTATATAACACGCATGTCTAGGTTTAGAGCTTGAGAAAAGGATTTTCACCCATATAAATGATTTCTGCATTGTGGGACATCTGTTATTGTGGAGAGCAATGTCCAAGACTGGGGTCTCTGATGACCTCATGGCTGTGGCATGCCTGGTGTATAAAAATGTTCCTGTGCAAATGTGCAGGATGCCTAGATGCTGTAGTAGTGCCCTCCATGAGAGCGCTCTGCAAAAGAATCTTATCAGCTTCAATCTTGATCTCAGGCACATAGTTCCTACCAACAGAGGAACTCTCTTGCTAGAGAATCACAATGTTTTACTAGCTCTGCTGCTCCTGAACTGTTCTGCTTAACAGTAACTTTAAACAATGGACTTTCATGAGCTACATAAAAGTCTTTTTTTTTTTTAAATATTTATTTTTAGTTATCGGCGGACACAACATCTTTGTTTGTATGTGGTGCTGAGGATCGAACCCGGGCCGCACGCATGCCAGGCGAGCACGCTACCGCTTGAGCCACATCCCCAGCCCTAAAAGTCTTAACATTACACATTGTAGCTGTAGATTGCAACTGCAGAAGAGCTGCATACATGTTTCTAGCCCTGTAACTTTCTAAATAAAACAAATAATGCTTACATAATATTTAACTTAATAATGAGACATATATAAAGATTGCTGCTTTAATTCTTTAGATCAGCTTTTCCATCAGAGAGCAGCACTCCATCTGATAGTAGCTACTTACTTATCTTCAATATCTACATGTCTGAGTAGTTTGTTTTCCAGTCCCCATTGCTTCTTGCTGGACCATATTCCATTGGCTGCACTGCTTGCAACATGATACATCTGTCTCTTAACTATTAAAATGCCGGTAACTCTTTGTCAATTTTTGTGATAATCAGAACTGCTGTCTTTTTTTTTTTTTTTTTTTTTTAAATTTATTTATTTTCGTTATTGGCGGACACAACATCTTTGCTTGTATGTGGTGCTGAGGATCGAACCCGGGCCGCACGCACGCCAGGGGAGCGCGCTACCACTTGAGCCACATCCCCAGCCTCCAGAACTGCTGTCTTGAGAAACACTAAGCTTTATTCTTTTTAAATGCTCTTCAAACTCAGTTTTGTGATTTCATGTTATTGAACATGTAATTGGTGAGGTGAATAATTGGTCTGATTCATTTCCTTTTCATGTAGATCACGGTAAATGTGGTTTATGTACTTTTGTATTTATTGAAATAGCTTAACTTTTTTATTTATTTATTTTTTTAGCAGTTTCTGTTTTCAGGTATTGAAGACATAGTTCTAAGCGACTAGGATTATTTGTTAATCCATGTAATATGAGGGTTAGTTGGGAAAGAAAAGAAGACAAAGCTTTGTCTTAATGTTCACTAGAGGAGGTAGTGAATAAGTTAGGATAGACAGAAAAGCAGGCAAATAGTTAAGGCTAACCCTAACTCCCAAAGAGTCTAAATGAACAGGCAACTCCATGAAATAAATATGTAGAAACATGACAAACATTCCAGCCAACTCATTTGTCTTGGAGCTTTAAGAAAAGGGAGGCAGAACAGACCTGAGTGAAAGTACAGACTTGAGGGCTAACCAGTTAGGATGTTGCAGGTCAAGGGCTGGAATTGTGGCTCAGTAGTAGAGCATTTGCCTGGCATATGTGAGGCCTTGGGTTCAGTTCTCAGCTCCACATATAAATAAATGAATACAATAAAAGTCCATCAACATCTTAAAAAAATGGCATCCCTTAAAAAAAAAAAAGAATGTTGCAGGTCAAACCAATATCTTCTAACACTTTCCCAGTACCTCCTTAGCATACATTTTGACCAATAGCCTTGGCACTTTTCTAATGTACAATTAGCTGAGCTATTGATCCATAGGCTTGGTACATTTCCAATATCTGATTAACATAAGTATTTACCAATAGCCTTGATACCTTTCTAACACCTGATTGGCACAGATATTGATCAGTAATTATATAACTAGATTTAAGTATACTTAAAAGGCAACCTGTTATCAATTCCCCTCTTGCCCAGCAAGAGCACTGTTTTTCTCACTTAAATAAACTCTACTCCTCTCACTTTCCTGTTCCATTGAGAATTTTATTTTTCAAAATCATGAGACAAGAACCCAGGACGAAATCAGTGGTAAGCTGCAATACTGGACCACTTGTCTTCAGAGCTGTTGAATCAATTTCATAGAACTTCGGGTATTTAAGTATTATTTCCAATCCCACTTTGCATGTTCTTATTTTGTACCATAAAATATCTTTCTTCACTATTCTGTGGTTCCAGTTTTTTGGCATTTGTATGTGTCTGTAGGAGATGGATGTTGTTTGTATTAAACCTGAGGCATTTTACCACCAAGTTGCATCCCCACTTCTTTTTAAAAACTTTTTGAGACAGAGTTTCTCTAGGTTGCTAAGGCTCTCCCTAAGTTGCTCAGGGAGGCTAGCCTTGATCTTTCTAGCCTTTTACCTCAGTCTCTTGATTTGCTTATATTGCAAGTCTGTACCACTGTGACTAGCTCCAGTCTGGTATTGAAGACAGAATATTGAGATATTTAAAACTTTAGCATAATGGAAATCATTATGTTTTTGTAATGGTGCAAATAATGAGCTTAACCAAAACTATGCTAGGAAAAACAAAAACAAAAAAACTTTCAGGAAAAAGCACAGTAAAAAAAGATTCCAAGAAGCAGAAATCTCAGTCTTAAAGAAATTCACTATTACCACAGACTTGACATTTCCTTTAAGAAAGGTTTGGGAACAGTGCTCAGAGAGAAACCCTCTACTAAAGCACGGATAATTTGGTATCAAAATAAAAAGAAATTCCCTGCTAAAGCTGTTCTTATACTTTAAAGTGTAATGGATTTCTGGGCATTATTATTATTATTTGTGGTACTGTGGATTGAACCCAGGGCCTGTGCATGCAAGGCAAGCACTCTACCAACTGAGCTATATTCCCATGCCCTGGGTATTACTTTTTAAGGGAAAATAAAACTTCAAGAATTGGATTAGCTAAAAAAGTTATGATAAAATTTCTACAGATTTTATTTTTTATCCTATAATATTGCTGTAAACTCCCTTTTTTATAGTTTGAGATTTAACACCTATGAAACTTGTAATTTTTTAATTCATTATACTTAATTATATTCTCAACAGGACTTGGCAAGGAGTCCGCTTTCCTTTCTGCAGAGATGTAAAGATCAAAATCAAAATAAAATATTATATTTTTAATATTTTATAAACCACACTACACTTTTTCCTTTTGCTTGCGCAAA